TTTTTAAAAGATTCTGACATGTGCTTCTGAGCTTTGTTATGTATAAGAAATGCCTGTTATGTGTGTATATTATTTATAAATATATATATTTACAAAAAATGAAATCATTCACATTTTTGATAACCTGTGTTTTGATTTTCATATTCTGTGAACATTTTTCATGTGTACATCATTGTTTTTAAAGGCCGTGATGGTATTTTGCAATATAGATACACCTAACTGGTCCATTTCACTTTGTCGGAAATTTAGATTTTTTTCTAAATTCTCACTGTTATAAAAGAAATATGAAAAACATTTATGTAATTTAATCTATGCACATACCCTTATAATTTTGCAACTTACCCCCTTAATTACCGTTATAATTATTTAACTTAATATTTTTTTATCCCTAATATTTTTGCAAAATTACAGGGTCAAGGATATATATAGTTTTAAATACTGTTACTTTGCCAAATTTCCAAAAAGTTTGTACCATTTCATAATGTTATCGCCATCTCATCAGTTTATATTAAAAAATTTAATCTAAGAGGTCTGCAAATGATACTGATTTTTATTTTAAATTTAATGCTAATGAAGTTGCATATTCTTTATATATTTATTAGCTTTTTGTCAATTTTGCCCAGTTTTCACAAGGAGATTTATGTTGTTTTTCGTATCCTTTGTGGGCTTTTTTTAAATTAAAAAAAAAATTGTCATTTGACCTTTGCATATACTACAAATATTTTCTACAATGTGTCATTTATTTTCATTTTGTTACTTTGATAACATAGAAATACACAGTGATACTTCAGTTGTGGAACTCAATTTGTCCAAATTTGTGCTGGAACACTGAAAAGTTCAAGGACTGAACATATTTTTCCCATAAGAAATAATGGAAAACCAAATAACTGGTTCTGAGGCCCAAAAATTACACTTATAACTTCATTTTTTCAGGACTTTATCAAATTTTGCAATGATTTCTTTCTTTAACTCTATTGTGCTTCTCATAGTTTTCCTTTTAACTTTGTGTTATCACTAACTTTCTTTGGGACCGTGGTTATGATATTTTACACGAATAAAGTGCAAAAACAAAAAAGAAAACCAAGCACAATGACTGTTTTTTTTGGGGGGGGGTACCCGGGATAGAATTTGGGACCTTGCGCTTGCGAGGCAGGCACCGGAACCACTGAGCTAAATCCCTGGCCCCACCACGACTGTTTTAATGCACTGTTGTGTGGGCAAGAGTGGTGCTTAGACTGAAGTGTCACCCTCTTGTGTCAGGGAGAGACAGTGGTGACTCACCCTGCCCATACAGGTGTTTGGGTCAGATTTTCAATTTGACTATGGAGGAAAGTTACAAATGTGGGGCAGATTTTTTTGAATTTTGTTGTTTGAGTCTTGCAATGGAAAGTTTGAGCTTGGAGGCATTCAACAACTGAGGTATCACTGTATGTAAAATTTTATAATTTTCAAATCTATAATTTTGTTATTGATGGTTTCTGACTACATTGTCATATTTGGAAAGGTCTCTTATCCCTAATATTTCTTTAAAAAGTGTCCCTATGTTTTCATTTAATGTTTTTATGCCTTTCGTTTTACATTTAAGTCTTTAGTTTATTAGAAAACCATTTTGGTATTGAGAGACAAATGCATTCTTTAAATATATATATGATTAGCACCTGTCACTTTTACAAAATACTAGGTTTCAATGTGATATTTTCATACATGTATATAACATTTTGATCATCCTTATCCCCCCACAGGAGATGTATGAATTCCTTATCAAGATAATTAAAAAGCCTTAGAATGATGGTTGGTTTTATTACTGTCTCCTAAAAAGTTATTGATGAGTATACTTTCTTTATAAAACCGTGAATGAGCCAGGAATGTAGCTCAGTGGCTCAGTGCCTGCCTGGCAAGTACAAGGTCCTGAGTTTGATTCCCGGTACTAGGAAAAAAAAAAAAACTTAATGAAGAAATAATGTAAGAACATGACCTTAGAGCAATGAAATTTGGTGTTAGAAATGGTTAAGAGTTTGGTTTATTTTATTTTTTGTTTTTTAGTGTCTTGTTAATGTTGTTGCATGGGGAGAAACATTTCCACCTGATTCTTATTCTGCTTATTTAAAAACAATTGAGAATTAGAATCTGGAAAGAATATTCTAAAGTAGAGACAGCAGCAAAGAATAACTACATGAAATTAAAGCAATAATTTGGTAGCTTTATTCTTTTGCTGTCCCAGAAATAATGCTTGGACATAAGGGGACCAAAAGAGAATATGTCTCTTAATACAAGACCTAGGCTTTTGTAATCTACATGACTCTTTTATAAATGTTGTTTTAATGTTGTTTTCAGCTCTGCTGCATAAAATCCTAGTTGAGAATCCATCAGTAAGGATTACCATTCCAGACATCAAAAAAGATAGATGGTACAATAAACCACTCAAGAAAGGTAATATTCTTAAAATTCAAGCACTTTTCTCTATGAAAGAACATTACTTGCAGCTGGGGCATGGTGACGGGCGTGCCTGTAATCCCAGTTCTCAAGAGCCTGCGCAGGAGGATTGCTGCAGTTTTGAGGCCAATCTGGGCTACACAGTGAGTTCAAGGCCAGCCTGAACTATATAGTGAGACCTTGTCTTAAACCAAAAAATAGAGTGATACTTGCAAATTTGGTATCACAAGTCAGCAACTCAAGAATGATATGGTCTCTATCTTGGTGGAGATTATAATGTCTAGTAGGAGGGGCCAGGGACTTAGCTCAGTGGTGCCCCTGCCTGCCTCTGAAGCATAAGGTCCTGAGTTCGATCTCTGGTACCAAAAAGTACTAGGAAAACAAATACAAAAAGTAATTTTGTTTATTAATAACTACAAAGGGATTGTTGGGGTACTATAGCTAAATATTTGATCAAATCTTAAGCCTTAAATGAGAAATTTTTTTCCTGAGGAAATGACATGAAATCTAAGATTTGAAGATTAAAGAGGAGGTAGACAGGTAATGTAAGTCACAGATTTGATTCTGAGCAGAGGAAGCATTCAGAAAATACAGTATTAGATTTATTAAGTCTGGAGCATTTGAAGAACTTGAGAGAAGGTCATTATGGAATGTACCTCATCAGTATTCATCATCTCACCAGTGATTAGCATATTTGAGGCATATTGTAGACACTCAGTAAATGTTTGTGAAGTAAATGAATGATTAAAGAAGTGAGAGAGGGGCTGAGGATTTATCTCAGTAGCTCTACACTTGCCTGGCAAGTGCAAGAGTTTGATTCCCAATACTGGAAAAAAAAAAAAAAAGAAAAGAAATGGGAAAGGAAGAGCATTTTTTGAGATGGTAGCTGAAAGGCAGAGAGCAGCCAAGTTACAAGGAGGATGGCCTTGTGTATGATGCTAAGTATTCTGGGCTTCAGCTTAAGCCCATTCAGAAAACTTGAGAGATGTTGAGCAAGAAAACATTAAGACCCTATATTTAGTTTAAAAAGGGCTTTGTGGCTACAACTCCTTTTTCATTGTTCTTGATGACTAGGAAGAGGTTAAGAGTGGTGTCAGTATTTTTAGAAGTGTTGAGGTGTGAGAAGACAGTAGCTTGTTGGAACAGGTTAATAGTAGGATTGGAGAAAAGAAAGTGCAAAGACATTTGAGGAGCAGAATTGATTTAGATATGGAAAATGAACAGTAATGACTTCTAGGTTTTGGTTTTGTTAACTTGGGGAGAAACATTTTGGGAGAATTTTCTTTCTTTTTTGGGGCGGGCCGGGTACTGGGGATCGAACTCAGGACCTTGCACTTGTGAGGCAGGGGCAGAGCTACTGAGCTAAATCCCCGGCCCTTTTTTTCAGTTTTTTGAGACCAGGTCTTGCTATGTAATTCAGGCTGGTCTTGAACTCACTGTGTACCCCAGGCTGGGCTTGAATTTCCAGTGATCTTCCTGCCTCAGCCTCCCAAGTACTGGGATTACAGATGTGCACCATCATGCCCAGCAGGGAAAATTTTGATTTTTTTTTTAATAGTTTTAAAATTTTATTTTGATGGTACTGGAAGTTGAGCCCAGACCCTTGCACATGCTAGGCAAGCGCTGTACCACAGAGTGTTTGATTTTGAATATCTTGAATTTGAGAGCTGAGTAAAAACTATTCAGTAGTGTGTGTGTGTGTGTGTGTGTGTGTGTGTGTGTGTAATTCAGGAAATGGGACTTGCCCTGAGATGTCAGTTTGGGGAGTTAAAGCATGTTGGTAAATGAAATTAAGTATAGGGAATTTTAAGGAATACCAGTATTTAAGTGGTGGGTGAAGACCAGGGAAATAGGGTAGAGAGAGGTGAAAGGAACGCCTGGAGAATGTGGGATAATGGAGGCTAAGAGAAGACAGTACCTGATGATGGCATATACTGCTAAATGGATCAATAACATGAAGCCTAAAATTTGGCCATTGTATTCCATGATGTAGTTCTTCATGATTGGGCAAGATAGTTTTACTGAAAAGTTAGTAGTAAATTCTAGAGCACGGTAATTGTGTAAAAGAGAGGTAAGGAATTAGAGAGGGTTGCTATAGACAATTCATTCATTGGCTTTGAGGGGAGAGGCGAAGACAATAGCTAGAGGTGAACAAGGAATTTTTTATTTAATTCTCTGAATGTTTCCTTCACCTTTTTTGTTCTAATTGAGATCCACCTCATCCTTGAGGACACTACTTCCTCTGAAGCAGTGGATGTTTTCCTTCTTATACCCTCATATCTTTGGGTCTGGAAGAAGGGCAGGTATCCTCCTTGATCCTTTTTGTTTTCAGTACTGGAGATTGAACCCAGGGCCTTCACACTGAGCTCTAACTCTAGCCTTTTTTATTTTTTTTATTTTAAGACAGGATCTCCCAAAATTGCCCAGGCTAGGCTTGACCTTGCAGTCCTGATTTAGCCTCCCAGAGTGCTAGTATTACAGGCATGCATCATCATTTGAGGTTCTTCCTTGTTCCTCATTGGTCCTTTCTCCTTTTTTTCCTGCATACCTTTCTTCTCCTTTTTATTTTTTTCCCCCTTTTGAGACAGGGTCTCTGTGAGGTTCAGTCTGGCCTTGAACTCACTATGTAGCCCAGAATGGCCTTGAACTCATGGCAGTCCTCCTGCCTCAGCCTTCTCTCCTCTGTTTTAAATCTCATATTACCAGACTCTATCATTCATTGTTTCCTTATTACAATCCTCTTCTGAACTCCAAATTGAAATTCCTGCCATACTTTCATTCTCTTCAACATGACTTGATACTATTTCTGTCATGTTTTTTGGTAAATTAATTATTCATTTGGTCTCCAGCTCCTTTTTATTTTTTTTGGGTACTGGGCATTGAACTTGGGGTCCTTGTGCTTGCCAGGCAGGTGGCAGAACCACTGAGCTAAATCCCTGGCCCAAGTTAACTATTCATTTGAATGATCCTGCCAATATTCTGTTTTTGGAACTGGGGACTGAACTCAGGACCTTTTGAGGCAGGCGCAGCACCACTGTGCTAAATCCCTGGCCCTTTCCAATATTTATTCTGACTTAACAATTTCTTGGACTTTTCTTTTCTTTCTTTCTTTCTTTTTTTTTTTTTTGGTACTGGGGATTGAACTTGGGTCCTTGCACTTGCGAGGCAGGCTCCGGAACCACTGAGCTAAATCCCCAGCCCCTGCTTTTCTTTTTTTGGAGGGGTAGGGGTTTGAGACAAGATCTTGCTCTGTAATTCAGGCTAGACTTGAACTCACTATGTAGCCCAGGCTGGCCTTGAACTCATGGTGTTCCTCCTGCCTCAGCCTTCTGAGTGCTGGGATCGCAGGCCTGCACCAGCATGCCAGGTTGGACTTTTTCTTCCTGTTTTGTTTTTTTTTTCTTCTCAGTACTGGGGATTGAACCAGTGTTTTTGAACTGAGTTATATCCCCTAGGGCTCGAACTTGTGATCCTCCTGAGTAGCTGGGATTATAGGCATGTGCTTTTATTATGTCTGGCTCTAGTGAACTTGTCTTTAAACATCCTGCCTTGATTTTCAATGTATTTTATTTCTGGTATCCTCCTTCTAGTACTGTGATTTCAACAATCCTTTGACTTTACCTGCATTTGCAGTCTGTTAATTCTACCACCTTTTCACTATCTTATCTGTTCCTTTTCTAGGTCCTCATTAGTCATAAAAGACTTCTTTCTTTTTACCTTCAGCTTCCTTGCTCCTTTCTCTCTTCATCACACTTACTGGACAAAACCCAACCCAATATATTTTTTTTAAACCTAACCCAGTTTTAATCCAGTTTTCTACCCACTCTACACTCATACATGCACTGCTAATCACAGAGAGAGAAAAATACCCAACAATGGTCACTTTAAATTGAGAACCACTAATCTCAAGTAGGCCTTTAACGCTGCCTGGCAGTCACATTATCTTTCTCTACCTGTTCTTCTACCCTGTTCTTCACAATTTACTGTCTTTTCTTTGCTTCTTAACTTTTTCTCCTCCTCTTCTTCCTCTTCTTCCTTCTTTCCTTCCTTCCCTCCTTCCCTCCTTCCCTCCTTCCCTCCCTCCCTCCCTCCTCCTTTTTTCTTCTTTTTTTTCTTTTTATTATCAGTGCTGGGGATCCAACCCAGGGCCTCATGCATGCTAGGCATATATTCAGCCCCCAAATAAATACTGTAGTTTACCATTTTTTCTTTCTTGTTTTCCTTTTTTTTTTCAATGCCTTAGATTGAGCCTATGATCTTCTGCATGCAAAGCAAGTACTCTATCACTGAGCTACACTCCTAGCCCTTTTCTCTTTAATACCTCCTTCCCCAGTGTCACTCTCAGTTGCTAACAATGTTCCTTATTTCACTGAGAAATAGAAGCAGGCGGAATGGAACTTCTCAAGCTCCCACTACCATCTCCTCACCCAACTGTCTCTGTGCTCATAGATTCTGCTATATATCTTGTTGCTGTGAATAAGTTGCTCCACATAGAAATGAACTTTTTCTCAAAGGACATTGTCTAACAACTCTTTGTCCTGAAGCGTTAATTTTTCCTTCTGTACTGGATCTTTCTCAATATATCAACATACTGTTTCTTCTCTCTTAAAAACAGAGTTAAGTAAGTAAATAATAGATAAAAGTATTTAATAAGCTAAACAGTAATGAAACTTCTCTTGTAGCCACTTCTCTACCATTCTATCTTTTTCTTTTTTACAATTGGACATCTCAAAAGAGGCTTCTAATTTTCTTTCTTTTTTTGGTACCGGGGATTGAACTCAGGTCCTTGCACTTGCGAGGCAGGCGACAGAACCACTGAGCTAAATCCCCAGCCCCAAGAGGCTTCTAATTTCTAACACCTCAAAGTTAGTTTTGAGAACTTCTGACTAGTCTTTTGTCAAAAGTTACAGTGACTAATGTTGCCAAATCCAAATCAGTTCTTAGATTCTCTTATTTTGTTTGATCAGCAGCATTTTATACAGCTGATCATGCTGTCCTACTTTAAATACTTTCTTCATTTGACTTCCAAAGACATTACTCTCTTTTTATTCTCATACTTCTCAAGGCCACTCCTTTTCTGTCTCTTGATGATTTTTCCTCATCTACCCAGTCTCAGTATTGGAGGGCACCAGAACTCAAACCATGGACCTCTTTTCCTTTCTTATCTACATTTACTCCATTTTAATTATATTTTGTCTCATTGCTATAAATAAATCTATATGTTGATAACTTACCACTTTTTATCAACTTTGGTCTTTTCTCTGAATTCTATGCTCATATGTTTAACTTCACAAATTTTGCTTGAGTGTAACAGCCATCTCAAACTTGATGCATCTCAAACTGAGTTCCTGATCTTTCTTCTTCATGTCTCTTCTTTCTAGTCTTTTCCAACTGCATCCTTCTTGTGAGGCAGATAAGAAACCTCAGGACCATCTTTCATTCTTTCATTCTGTTTTACCTCATTTCCAACTTACCAGAAATTTCTGTTAACTTTTACCTTTAAAAATCTCAGATTCTGACCACTTTTTCACACCTCCATTGGTACTCACCATGGTATCTTGCTGGTGTGTTCCAATAAAAAAGTAAGTTAGAATATGTCAGTGTTCTGCTCAAGTCTTTCAGTGTTTTACTTCTCTCTCAAAATATGAGGTAAGATCAGTTCATGTCCTATGAGGTCTTATAATGACTATTCTCTGTGCCTAGAAATGCTTTTCTCACAGTGAGACTTACCCTTATGTCTTGTTCCCTCACCTTTGGGTATTGACTTCATTTTCATTGAGGAAAACTTTAAAACTGAACCCCCATCTCCATGGACTTCTTTGTGTTATTTTTCTCTGTTGCACTTGTCACTGTTTAGCAAGTATAATTTTAACTTTACTTGAATTTTAACTTGCTTTATTTTTTTCTCTTTATAAAATTTAAGAGGTCAATGACTTTTGTCAGTTTTGTTCACATTGAATACTTAGTACATAGAATAATGCCTGGTAATAGTAGAACTAATAAAATGTTAAAATGAATGGATAGTCATCCAAATATTTGAGTGAATGCGTTTATAAATAAACAGGTTGGCTAACCTTAAAGCATGTTTTAATGGTTTGGGGTATAGATCCAATAGCAAAATAGTCTGAAAGTTGTAAGAGAAAGGAAGTAAGTAAAGGCATCAATATTTGTGGAAAGGTAGGTGGGCATGAACTTCATAGCTCAAGTAGAGGGACAAGCACTTGATGGAAGGATGCAAAGGAGGAAAAGAAGCTGGGTATGGTGGTACATGCCTATAATCTCAGGCTGAGCCAAATGGATCATAAGTTCTGGCCCAGTCTGGGCAATTTAGCAATTTAATGATTCCCTGTCTCAAAATAAAACAAAAAGAAGGCTCAGTTGTAGCTCAGTATGAAGACTGGTTTAATCCTCAGTGCTGAAAAAAAAAAAAAAAAGGAGAAGATGGGTAGGAATGCAAGTACACTTACAGATTTTGTAGTGACATGTTGACTAGTTTCTATCTAATAGCTTTGTTTTCTCTATGAAATGGGAGATAGTATCATGCTAAGTAGTGAAAGGATGGGGGGATGTCTTGGAAATTTCAGAAGAGTGTAGAAGTTTTGAAGTAATCTTTCCAGAGAAAGGGAGAGGAGACTGACTAATGAAAGAATTAAATTGACAGTCAGTTCTGAGGGTACATCTGAGGATTGTAACTGAGTTTTTAGTGGCATCATTTTCTCTATAATTATTTTTGGTAAGTCTTTTCTAGGGGAGCAGAGTGTTAGAGTAGATTTGTGTTTATTGCTATTATGGTAAATTATTTTTTATTTTAAAAAGTTCTAGTCCTTTAACTAGATCTCTGCATCTTTGTAGAACCTTTGTTGTGGTCTTACCATGATAACCCACAGTTAGAACATATTTAAAGGTCACAGTTTGTGAAGTATCTAATTTGACAGATGAGCCTTAGTAAATTTATAACTTTACCACATTTCTTGTAAAGTCATGTCGAAAGACTCACTGTCTTCTATGTAGTTTGTGTTCAATAAGTATATTTAGGTATAATTTTATTTATTCAAAATGTCAGTTGGGTTAATTAAAAAATATCTGCCTAGAAGGCTTAAAAGCATTTGTATTGTCTTGGGCTGGGGATTTAGCTCAGTGGCACCACACCTGCCTGGCAAGCACAAGGTCCTGAGTTTGATCCCAGGTACCAAAAAAAAAAAGCATTTGTATTGTCTTCTGTTTTAGGAGCAAAGAGGCCCCGGGTCACTTCAGGTGGTGTGTCAGAGTCTCCTGGTGGATTCTCTAAGCACATTCACTCTAATTTGGACTTCTCTCCAATAAACAGTGCTTCTAGGTAAGTTAATAAAAACGAAGTAGTTATTGAATGTAGAATTCCCCAAGAAGAATAATACATGTATATATCTTTCTTAATAATGAACATAATTTATTTATTTTTTTATTTTTTTGTACCGGGGATTGAACTCAGGTCCTTGTGCTTGCGCAGCAGGCGGCAAAACCACTGAGCTAAATCCCCGGCCCATGAACATAATTTTGTCAGAATGAGAATGATTGTTTGATATAAGAAAGACCTGTTAGATTTTATTTAAAGATATATTTTCTATTGAGCATGATGCCAACTGCCTGTAGTCTTAGCTACTGTACTTGGAAGGCTTACGAGGATGATTTATTGGAGGCCAGTATGAGTAACATGGTGAGACACTTTCAAAAAACAAAAGTACCTGAAGAAAAAAAATTGAAGACGTATTTTTCTGTCTTAATGTCTCAGTGAAGAAAATGTGAAGTACTCCAGTTCGCAGCCAGAACCACGGACAGGTCTTTCCTTATGGGACTCCAGTCCCTCATACATCGATAAACTGGTACAAGGAATCAGTTTTTCCCAACCTGCATGCCCTGATCATATGCTTCTGAATAGTCAGTTAGTCGGCACCCCAGGATCCTCACAGGTAAGGGAATTTAATTTTTCAAATGGATAATGTTTGCTCTTTATTTTTATTATCTTAAAAGTCTTGGGGCCGGGGATTTAGCTCAGTGGTTCTGCTCCCTGCCTTGAAAGCACAAGGTCCTGAGATCGATCCCTGGTACAAAAAAAAAAAGTCTTGTTCATGTGGAAATCTCAGGAATGTATTATCAATACTTTTAATTTATATGTGTATTTTGTACAAGGAACAATTAGAGGAGGACTTTGTGGAAAAAGAATCTCAATTCACACATGAAATTTTTCAGGCTAAATAGCTATGATATCTCTGCCTTTGATCATTGTAGATTTATTCAGCTTTTCTGTTTGACATGTAGAACCCCTGGCAGCGCTTGGTCAAAAGAATGACACGATTCTTTACCAAATTGGATGCAAACAAATCTTATCAGTGCCTAAAAGAGACATGTGAGAAGTTGGGCTATCAATGGAAAAAGAGTTGTATGAATCAGGTATGTTTGGTTGATTTATTTGTCTAAAAACTATCAGTACGTTTTAAAAAATAATTCAAATTTAGAAAACAATTGAAATTGAAAAAATTTAAATAAAATCTTATTTTTCTTAAGAAATAATATTTCTTGAAAAACATTAAAAGTATCAGCCAAGTGTGGTGGCACACACCTAAAATACCAGCACTGGGGAGGCTGAGCCAGGAGAATTGTGAATTTGAAGCCAGGTTGGGCTACATAGTGAGTTCAAAAAAGAAATTAAAAATATTAAGTAACTGGAGTCATTACTAAAAAACTATGTAGAGTTAATTGTAACTGTTGACTGCTCTCTGTGTCCCCTGATCCTATGCACCAATTTTTGTTTATATTATTGTAGCACAGTTATAACACTGGCATTCTAATCTGTATTTAGGTTTTTTCAAGAGGCAGTTATTCTGTATTAAAGGAGATTTAAGAGCCCTGTGTAAATGCAATGTGTGATCTTTCACTAGATCAGTGATGGCGAATCTTTTAGAGCTTTCAGTGATACAAACAGCCCACCATGGCACGTGTGTCATAAGTTTGTCACCATTGCACTAGATCATAGATTCAAAAATAAAACAGCTATAAAGGATGTTATTGGTACAATATAGGCTGAATATTAATTATTGTCTTTGTCAGGTGGTGTGATGTTAATACTGTGATTTGTAGAAGAATGTCTTCATAGGTGGAGCTTCTTTATAAGCCATAAGAACACTAAAAGAATGACAGTAGAAGTTGCAAGACTTCTTCAGGCCTTTTCCATCTTCTCATTGCTGATATGGCTCTTCAGCCACAAATCTAGCCTCTCTTTTTCATATTGTAATAACTTTGTTTCTTCTTTCAGTTTTATGTTTTTGGTTGCTAAGAGTTCTCATGAACTCAGTCTCTATTTACAAGTGAGTTTCCCTTGCACATACATAGCATTCCTGTCTTAGAAGTACACTACAGATTTTTACCCCAGAAGTATCATTGACCTGAGAATATAGTTTTAATTTAAAAGTATTTTCTAGTCATACAGGTGGCTTAACCTTATTTTTGTTGCCTTAGGTTACTGTGTCAACAACTGATAGGAGAAACAATAAACTGATTTTCAAAGTGAATTTGGTAGAAATGGATGAGAAAATATTGGTTGACTTCCGGCTTTCTAAGGTACTTATGATAATTTTGTTATAGTATTCTTTCTATGGAAATATTTTTGGGCTTTTCTTTTTTGGTACTGGGAGTCAAACTCAGGACCTTGCGCTTGTAAGGCAGGTGCGGTGCTTCTGAGTTAAATCCCCGGCCTGTGTGAATTTTTTTAATGGTGTTATGTTTGTATACAGTAGTCCTCCCACCCATACTTTACTTTCTGCAGTTTCAGGTCAACTATAGTCAGACAGTAGTAAATGTAAAGTTCAGAAATAAACATTTCCAATTAAGCACAAGGTACCTGGGCAGCTGAGGCATGAATATCACAAGTTTAAGTCCAGCCTGAGCAACTTAGTGAAATCCTGTCTCAAAAAGAGCTGAGGATGTAGCTAAGTGGTAGAGCACTTGCCTGGCATAGGCAAGGCCTTAGATTCAATCCCCAGTGCCATCCCCTTCCCCGCCAAATTGAGCCTAGTTCTGAGTAGCATGATGAAGTCTTTCACTGTTCACTCCCTTCTAGTATGATATGAATCATCCTTTTGTCTGGCATAAAAATCTTACACATAGATTTTTGTTCATGCTGTACATACTGGTTGACTTTTACTCAGTAGCTGTTTTGATTATCAGATTGAGTGTCATATACTTCAGTACTTAATGTTCACATAAAGCTTATATTACTTAATACTGGCACCAAAGTGCAAGCATAGTGATGCTGGCAGTTTATTTATTTATCTATTTATTTTTTATCAGTACGTGTTTGTAGTACATAGCAATTACATTCATTGTGGGGAGTTAGTACATAAATATGACACATCTTAATTCTTTTTTACTCCCCCATCTCTAGATCCTTTTCCTATTTGCAAAAGATCTACTCCCTGATTCCTAGTATCCATCCATTATTTTGCTGTTAAAATTATTTTATATTTTGAGTTTCTCATATGGTATAAGGGAAACCATGCAGTATTTAACCTTGTGTGTCTGACATTTCACTTAACATAATGATCTCAAGGTGCATCCATTTTCCTACAAATGACCGAAATTTATCCTTCATGGCACAGTAGTATTCTATTGTATATAAATTTATTTTCTTTAATCAATCTGTTGTTGGACATACAGGCCTTTTCCATGATTTAATTATTATGAGTTGGGCTGCTATAAACATGGGTATGTATATATCACTGTGCTATTAATGCCTCTAACTCTTTTGAGAAGATACATAGAAGGGGAATAGCTGGGCTAAATAGAATTTCTTTTTTTTTTTTTTTTTTTTTTTTTGCTAAATAGAATTTCTGTTTTTAATTTTTTGAGGAATCTCCATACTAGTTTCCACAGTGGTTGTCCTGGTTTATATACCCATCAACAGTGTAGAAATATTCCTTTTTCCCCACAGTCTCATTGCTGGCAATTTTCATTATGCTATTTTATTAGTTATTGTTGTTAATCTCTTGCTGTGCTTAATTTATACTTTTTTTTTTGGTACCGGGGATCAAACTCGGGACCTTGCACTTGTGAGGCAGGTGCTGGAACCACTGAGCTAAATTCCCCAGTCCTGTGCTTAATTTATAAATGAAACTTTATTGTAGGTAGATACGGAAAGTACTTACTATTCAATATAGGGTTCTATACTATCCATAGTTTCAAGCATCCATAGGGGGTCTTGGAACATTTCCTTCATGGGTAAAGAGAGACTGCTTGTTTAACATTTGTAAATATATGATAACTTGGGTTTTTCATTTAATGTTATAAACTTCAGTTCTCCGAAATCAGTTTTTTTGACCGACACTATTATAAAAATTTTTGGTTTTTATAGACAGTGTAGACAAGTAAAAAATAAGAGAATAAAGACAATCTTAAATTATGCTTCCCAGCAATCATCTTTAACATTTTGAAATATTCTAATTTTCTTTTAATTCAACAGACCTTTATTTGAGTAATTCTGTGATTAATATCTTTGGATTTTTGTTTACATTTCTGATTCTTTCTAGTTTTAAAGCCATTGACATATGCAAGATGAAAATAGTGTTTTTTCTATTTCCTGTGAGATTGATATTCCTGCTGCAATACTGTTTTCCAGATGTTTGCTGTGGATTTATGAGGGATCCTACTGTAATGAAATCCTTCTCATTTCTGAATTTGTTGTCTTTGTTGCCAAAGTATTGTGACAAGACTTTGTGTAGTTGTGTAGCTTATTTTTAGTGTACAAATCCCCACTCCCTTTGGAGATCCCAGACCTATGTATGGTCCAGACCTTGTATGGTACTAACTTTTGAAATAGGATGCTATTTTTTCTGCTTTCTGAGTTCAGTGTGGTGGGAACAGTGACGAGCACAAAATCAGGTCAGAATTATTTTTGTAACCATTTCTTCTACCAGAGTACTTGGTCTTAATAGGAGGATATGATGGTATTGTTGCCAGACTTATCTATCTAAGAATGTTTCTACTTACCAGTAAAGAGAGTTTGATTTTATGACATAATCTCTTTTCTAACATTATTTTTGTGTATTATTTCTCATATAGGGTGATGGACTGGAATTCAAGAGACACTTTCTGAAGATTAAAGGGAAGCTGAGTGATGTTGTAAGCAGCCAGAAGGTTTGGCTTCCTGCCACATGATCAGTCCTGTAGTCCTGGGGATTCCTGGTGAATATGGTGCTGCTATGTTGACATTATTCTTCCTAGAGAAGATTATCCTATTCTGCAAACTGCAAACAATAGTTGCTGAAGAATCCTCTTCTCCTTTATCCAAACATCTTCCAATTCTTTGTATGTTTTGCATACAAATAATACCTGTATCTTAATTGTAAGTAATACTTTGGGGAAGGGATATTTTTTCATCTGTTTCAGGTTTGAATTTGAAATCCATCTGATAGAAACTAGGTTTAAGGTAGATGTGTTAATCAGATTTTCTACCAACATAATAACTCATTCTTACCAGAACATATTTCACCCAGAAAGTATGTATTTCTTCCACATTGATTTAATTATAAAGATGGGTTAGCAAAGGCTTAGTCCTTGTGACTTTTGGACAGTAGATTTATCAGTCTGTGAAGTGAGGCCAGCTTCAAAAAATGAATCCCCAAGATTTGTACTTATATTTACAAAAGGGTCTGACCGGTTATATAAACCTGCTGCTGAATTATAATAATTAAAATTGCAAGTAGGTGGTTTTTTTTTCTGGAATAGCTAGTAAAATATAAAATACTGGTTGGTCTTTCAAAAAGTTGAGCATAAACTGCTTCACTAAAAAAATTATTGTTGCACATCTTAAATATTTTTCTATATTCTCTACTTTCACAGACATTTTAATTCTTTACTACAGAAATAAAGTCTATTTTGAAAGTGATATCTAACTGTGAACTTATTGGTGATCAAGGTTTTAGGTGACGTGGAATAAAAAGGGAGGGAGTAAGGAAGTATCATTGAATACATCTGATTCCTACTATAATATGTATGGGGTGGTTCTTTTTAAATTTATCCTACTTTGATTTCATTGAGCATCATGTGCTTGTAGATCAATGGTTTTCCTCAAACTTGGGAATATTTCAGCCATTATTTTTTCTAATAATCTCTGTCCTTTGGTTCTTTTGGGGGGGGGCGGGGGTGGTACCAGGGATCAGACTTTGGACCTTGTGCTTGTGAGGTAGGCACGGTGCCACTTGAGCTTAAATCCCTGGCCCCCTAGTCCTTAGGTTCTTCTTCCAGGGTTTTCACAATACACATATTGATCTGCTCAGTGACATCCCATATGTCCCTTAGGCTGTACACATTTCTTTTTTTTTTTTTTTTTTTGGGTAGTACTGTGGATTGAACCCAGGTCCTCACACATGCTAAGCAAGCATTCTACTACTGAGATACATCCCCAGCTTGTCCACCTTTCTTCATTTTTTCCTCTTTGTATTGCTTAGACTCTTTGTTTTAAGTGACTTGTCTCAGATTTGCTGTTGTGTGCAAAGGATAATAGCTTGGTGGTACAGTGTTTGCTTAGCATGCATGAGGTGCTGGGTTTGAGTCCCAGCACTACAAAAAACAATTTACTGATTATTCTGCCTATTCAAGCCTGCTAATGAACTCCTACAGTGAATTTCTCAATATAGTTACTGTTTTTCTCTTGAATTTGGTTCCTTTTTACAATTTCTCTTTGTTGATATTCTTATTTTGTTCACATATTTTCATGATTACTCTTCATTCTTTGTTATCTTTTAGCTCTTCTAGCATATTTAAGACACTTGTTTTAAAGTCTCTGTGTAGTACATCCAGTCTTTTTCTTTAGGAACTGTTTCTGCTACATTATTTTCTTCCTTTAAATGGGGTATGTTATTCTCTTTCCCCTCTTTCTTTGTATGTCTTTTTTTTTTTTCTTTGTATGTCTTACGATATTTTTGTTGACAATTTGGCCTTTTTATTTGTATGCCTTGTAATATTTTTATTGAAAATTTGGCATTTGAAAAAACAATCAACTCTGCTAAACTAGCTTTGTACTAAAAAAGACCTTTACTAATAGCAGGTCATGTTTTGAGCCTAGGTATCAGGCTAGTATGAAGGATTAATGTCTTCTCTGCCCTCCTGTTTCTTGGATGTCTTTACTCTAGTCCCCTGCATACACAGAGATTTTGAATATCTTAATTTTTTAGTGTTTCATGCCAGCTTTGTAGCATTTAGATATTCTCTTGTATTCTCTACTCATAACCTTGCCCAGGCATCAGCTGGTCCATGGTCCCTCTGCAGCTTTCTTGAGCAGTGTTCATTGCTTCCCATGGTTTTTCCCAACCTGAGATCCAAGCTGTTCTGCTTCTCCCTGAGTGAGCTCTGAATGAGGTGAAACAGACCAAACTCTGAAGTTCCCCATAAAGGTTAATATATTACAGATAAAGTCTGCTCTCTGCTCCCAAAAGGTTAAGGAAGGTTACTGGGAATTTGAGCTGTTCCTTCCAGCTGTGCTATGCTGAGAACAAGGTGGATCAAAGGCTGGTAAAATGCCAGCATTTGAGTCCATGAGCCTCTGAGTATCATGTGTCTTTTTTTTGAACCAATTTTTAATTTTTCTCTGATTCTTTTTTTTTTTTTTGGCAATAAGGTTTTACATTTATTAAAGGTAGGACAAAATAGGCTCTGCAGAGCAAGCTTGGGCCAAGTAAAAGTAGGAAAAGAACTGTGCTGTACAGGAGAGAGCAGGGCACAGAGAACACAGTAGTCTAATGTTGGACATCTCTTCATGTTGTAGTCATCCATTTGTGTATCTTCTTTGGAAAGTCATCCATTTTTTTTTTTATTTTTAAGGTGCTGGGGGTTGAACCCAGGGCCTATCACATGCTAGGCAAGTGCTTTACCAGTATCAGAGATTGAAATCAGGACCTTGCACTTGCTAGGGCCCATGAGCTACATCTCCGGCTCCCAGGCTGGTCTTGAAGTCACTGTGTAGCCCTGGCTGGCCTTGAACTCATGGCCATCTTCCTGCCTCAGCTTCCTGAGTGCTAGGATTACAAGTGTGCACTATCATGCTGAGCCTCATAAATTTTAAACCTTTATTTTTGAATACCATTTTATTAGAGATAGGATTATAGGCTCTAAATAATTTTTATTCAGAAATTTGAAGAGAAGTTCTGTTGTCTTCTAGCTTACAGTTATTACCAGTTAAAAGTCTTGCCAGTGTGTTTTGGGGAAGGGCCATAATGTATAAATATTAAAATTTTTGATTTTATATACAGTAAAAATGACATTGTTTCTTGGTGTACTGTTTTAAGAGTTCTCAGGCATGAACCCAAAAGCTATAATCATTAAAAAAATAAATTGGACTGTGGCAAAATTAAAGGTTTTTGCTTTGCAAAGTACATTAGGACCACCCAACTGATGATCTCCAGAGTCTTCACATGGAGGAGTGTGGAAGCAGCAATGGGGGGGGTTGGGGGGGTGAAGGATTGATTTTGGTCTTGAAAGACCGTTCTGGTTGATACTCATAGTGTGAGATAATGGCTCAGATTAAAGCCATACAGATTTGGTTTTAGGGTCTGGCACTGGCTCTCACTAGTTTGGTAACCTTGGTCAGTTTGGAACAGTATGGAATATGAATAAATAAAACATCTCTATGTCACATTTCTTTATTTATAAAGTAAGGATGCTGTCTTTCCTGTCTACTACTCTGAGTTCTTTCCTGAGGATCAGATGAGACCATGTTTGTGAAAACACCTTGAGGTGAGGAGTGACTGTTTAGTATTCCACCTGTTTCTCTATGGTGCTTAGATGCTCCAATAACATTTTGTAGGAAAAATGCGTTATGAGTTACTGAGAAGAAATAAAAGGAATCATTTTGTTTTCATTTTGTGAGCTTAAGTCTGAAAACTCAAGAGCCAAAGAAAAGTTGAATTCTCTATGCAGGTGGAAGGATGTGGGGGAAAATAGGGATGGAAAGATTGAGGGTCAGAGAGAAGTACCTGTGAAGCAGAGCTTAAAGAACAAGTCTTCCCAGCCTTGGGCAGCCCCCCCACCCTGCCTCGAATCACTCTCTTCTCCCTTGTAGCTGTAACTCCTTGTTTTGTTACAGGTAAGACTGGCGACTATGTCCTCTAAACAAAGTTCATGATGCCTCGTTCACACAAGATTCACAAGGAACAAAACTGTCATCATGTGATATGTAACTAATTTGCTTTTTGTTTGCTTCTGTAACCTCGCTTGCCCACCCCCCTCCCCAGTTTTATGTCACTAGAAAGACCATCCCTCCTTTTGACCACAAGTATGAAACTGAAACTTACATTGTTCTGAGCTCTTCCTTTGGACAGGAGTCCATTGAACTGCTATTCACCTAAAACCTGAAATGAATCCTCTGATTCCCATGGGTCTCTCCTGTCTCTTGAAGTTCTGCAACACCTGCAATATTGTTTAAGCCCCACAAAAGACTAATACCCACTTTGTATTCATCCTTGTTTTCTCTGCCCTGGGAGACCCCTTCTCTTTCAGTGCGTCAGGTAAAGTGGCATACCCCTGTAATCCCCACTCCTTGGGAGGCTGATAAAGGAGAATTGCAAGTCTGAGGTCAGCCTGGGCAACTTAGCAAGACCCTGTCTTAAAAAGGGCTCAGGGGGAGAGGACTTGCCTAGCATGCTCAAGGTCCTAGGTTCAATTCCCAGTACCACACACAAAATATCCAATTTAGTAGAGGTGGATAAAAGCTCAGGCTGACCCTGCAACTGGACTGATGGGAAAAGAAGTCTATGGAATCTTTATTCTTTAACCACAGACATTTATTTTGAAAAGGAAATCTGGAGTATCAATGTTGGGGGCAGGGAAGACAGGGAGAAGAATAATGGGCAATGGTATGAACAGGAGAGGAAAGGTATTTGAACATCTTGTTTGACATTCAGGCAGAGGCAGGTGCTATTAGTTGTTGAAGCTAAATATAAGTTGAGCCAAGTAGCGTGGGGGCCTTCTGCCTGAGTCAGGCTTCTAGACCATGTTGCAGAAAGGTTTATTTCAGCAGCATATAATTTGCATCCTTGTTCCTTGAGAAATGAAGTTCATAGAAGGGCACTTGTTCTCACACCCCTGAACCATGAATTGGAGTTTTCCACCTGAAAAGGGCAAAGACATTGGAGTTAATAGAAGGGTTCTCTCTCTAACCTTACCTTTCTCCATAGTCCCCAATATCCCAATGCAGGGATGGCTAAGACCTCCACATGTACATTCTCTTTCCCCGCTTTGTTTCTGTCCTCTGGGACCTTCACTTCATCAGTTGCCCTTCTGTCTTATTGCTTCAGTTTTCCTCTCTACTGGCTCCTTTTTTGGTTTATAAGCATGCTCAAGTTCTCCCAAACTCAAATATAGTTTCTCTTATATCATTCTCCTGCCACTGTCCTAACCCCACAAACCTCTCTGGAGAGCCAGCTGTCCTCACTTGACCTTCCCTTCTGCCCTAGACCCTCAGAATCATGATTCTGCTGCTGAAATTCTCCCCTCAAAGTGTTCTACTTTTCAGATTCTGCAGTCTTTTCTCAAGTCTCCAACCTCTCTGGGCATGTAATCCTGTAGACTACACCCTATCTCTTTCTTGACACTTCTCCAGACAGTGTTCCCTACTACTCCTCTGGATCCAGTTATCTGTGCTTCCTCAAGTAGAATTCTCACATTTCCAGTAAACTGATGGTCATCTTCATTCAGATATGTTAAGGACTTCTAAAATTTACTGTGTCCCAAATGAAGTTCATTTCTATCTTCCTCACTTGGACGTGCTTTCTTGACATTTCCCTTATACATTTTCTGTATCACATTCTGAAAACCCCTGTGATCTCTGATTTCCCCCTTTGCCCTTTCTGCCCAACTGGTCGAGAAGGCCTGTCAGTCCTATCAGTTCTACTCTTTAAATGCGTGTTTTTATCCTGTCACTTATATTCATAAAACATTTAAGGGACCTTTACTGTGTGTAGGGAACTATGTTAGACACCAGAGGATTTTAAGATTAATAACATCAAGGTCCTTCAGTGTCATGCACTGAGAGAGACAGAAAAAAAGAAATGGAGGGAGAGGGGAGGAAGGGAGAGATATTTCACTTTTCTAAATTTCTGTTAGCAGATCCTCTTGTGGAGATTAAATGAGAAACCATACTTTAAAGTGTATCTCAGTATCTTACCTATAAATGGGAGGTAAATAAAGAACTATTATTTGTATTAACCTTATCAAGTCACTCCCTTACTCAAAATTCCTATATTCAAACTCCTTGAAGTAATATTGAAGGGTTTTGGGGGGGGGATTGAGCCCAGGCCATTCACACTAAGTGAATCCCCAGCCTTTGTTTTTATATTCTGTCTTTGTTTTTTGTTTTTTGTGATAGTCTTGGTATGTAGTTCAGGCTGGCCTTGTATTCACTGTGTGGCATAGCCTGGCCTCAAACTCGTAGCACTTTTTTGCCTCAGCCTCCCAAGTGCTGAGATTACAAGGGTGCACCAACAAGCCCAGCTCTTGTTTTAATATTTCATTTAGAGACAGGGCCTAAGTTGTTAAGTTGCCCAGGTGGGCTTGAACTTATGATCCTCTTGCCTCAGCCTCTGAGTGCTAGAATTACAGGCATGTGCCACCACATCCTGCAATTTTTCAGGCCTTTATGTATGATTTGGCTCCAGTCAACGATTCCCAAATTTATTTTCTTCTCCTCCCCTACTTGCAATCCCCCAAAGTCTCTGCTATTTTTCCTGTTTATGTCCTGCACTTTTCTGACTTTTGTTTCCATAATTCCCCACCTCTGGCATATCCTTCATCAACCATTGCAGTATGACTAAATCAGTAGGTTCTCTTCAGTCCTGCTTGTATGTTGAGATGGATGAGGAGCTTTAAAAAATTTTGATGCTGGGCCTGTGGTGTAGGCCTGTAATTCTAGCACTCTGGGAGGTTGGAACAGGAGGATCACAAGTGTGAACCCAGCCTGGGCAACTTATGGAGACCCTGCCTCAAAAATGGGGTTGGGGGTGAGGATGTAGCTAAATACAAAGGCCCTAGGTTCAATCCCTAGTACCAACAAAAAGAATAAGAAAAAAACCTGGATTCAATCCCCAGAGATTAGTATTTAATTGGTGCAACCCAAGCATTAGGACTTTTTTTTGGTACCAGGGATCGAATGCTGGTCCTTGCGCATGCACAGCAGGCGGCGAAACCGCTGAGCTAAGTCCCTGGCCAGCATTAGGATTTTTAAAAGTTGCTCAAGTGATTGTAGTGTGTAGCCAAGACTGAGAGTTACTGGCCCACATCTTATGTGTTACCCCCAAAGCCTTTTCTGAATGCCACCTCCAAATTTGTTTGGAATTTTTGCTTCTCTCATCTCATCTTTCCTTCTCTGCCACCTCTAATCTTTTCCTTCTCTGGTTGAGTTCCCAGCACTTTGTATGCTTTTTATTTTTATTTTTTTGTACTGGGGATGGAACTCAGGACCTTGTGCATGCGAGGCAGGTGCGGTGCCACTGAGCTAACTCCCTGGCCCAATGCTTTTTATTTTTAAACGGTACTCAGGATTGGACCCAGGGGGCAACTCACTGAGGTACATACCTGGCCTTTTTTTTTCTTTTTTTTTTTGTGAGACTAGGTCTTGATAGATTGCTGAGATGCCCAGTTTTATCCAGGCTGGGATTGACCTTCCCATCTTCCTGCCTCAGCCTCCCAGAGGGCTAGGAATATAGGCATGTGCTACCACACTTGGCTTTTGTGTGCCTTTCTTATTTTATTTTTTCCTTTGTGATATTATGTATTTGTTATCTTAGGCCAACCTCTGGGCCGTGGAGTGGTACTGGTTGGCCTATTAAGAACTGGGCTGCCCGGCAGGAGGTGAGCAGTGGGGCCGGGAGTAAACTTCATCTGTATTTACGGCAGCAGGGGAACCCTACTATGAACTGTGATATGAGGGATCTAGGTTGAGAGCTTCACATCACCCTGAAACAAGTTCCCCCTTCATATCCCTAACCCCTATCATGGAAAAAATCATCTCTTGTGAAACTGGTCCCTGGTGGGAAAAAAAGATTAAGGGCTAGTGAATTAGGCCATAGTGTTTTTTTTGGTGCTTCATCAAACTCAGGACCTTGTGCTTTCAAAGCAGGTGGCAGAACCACTGAGCAAAATCCCAGGCCCTGATAATTTTTTTTTAGACAAGGTCTCACTGTGCAGTTCAAGCTGGCCTTGAACTCATTATGTAGCCCAGGTTGGCCTTGAACTTGTGGTGATCCTCCTGCCTTAGCTTCCCTAGTGCTAGGATTACAGGTATGTGTCACCACACCCAGCATACACAGTCTGTATTTGATAGTATGTGTCTTTAATGTTTGTTGAGTGATGGTGGATGAATGCACTCATGTAGAAATGGGATAATGGCATTTCTAGTGAGGGACCACACAGTTCATGGGATGGAAGTAACCAAGTTTGCTTATTTTGGGGAGGAAGAGTGAGAGTGAGGGTAGAGAGACATACAGCCTGGTTTGGAAACCTATGAACATAGATTTGTAGTCAATTGTTTGTTAGTTTATTCATTCAGTATTTACTAAATGTCTACCTTACCATATGCTGGACATTGTTCTAGGCTCTGAGAATATGTAGCCATGAACAAAACAGGCATAGTGCTGAGCTTACAGTTTGTGTCTCAATGGCTTAAGGGACATCTCACAATTTCTTTAATAGGAAGAGACAGCCAATATCCCTGCCTCCTTTTCTATGAAGTCTTAAGCCTGCTGGGAAGGGCCTGTACCTCTCCAATCCGTACCTGGGATTCTACTCTAAATCCTTGAGGTTCTTTTTAATCTCCAATTTTCTTGATCTCTCCCCTTAGCCACTGCCCCCTAAACTGCCTCCTATCAGTACTTAAGTTGCCTGATGTATTCTCATACCTTTGAAGATCTTCTTTAACATGCACTGCTGGGAATTCTCAGTGGTGCACATTCCCTCTCCACGAAGACATTTTCCTTTATCATTCATATAAGCACATGTGTGGCAATTTAATATTGCACCTGCAAATGTAAGACAAGACTGATGAAATTCCCTTATGGACCAGGTGTGGATATGTGAGTCAGACATCTGGGATAGAATGACAGACAATAAGTAGCCTGGAGACAACATATTTCTTGAGTTCTTACTGGGGCTCTGAGGGTCCTGTGTCTGCTACAGCATGTGTTTTGGAGGAAATTCATTTTTATTGCTTCATCTATAATCTTCATTGCTGACAAATCCCAAATTTACTCCCTACTCTTGACTTTTACTCTAGTGCATATCTTCACTGGCTTCCTGGGCATTTGTAATCAGTTGCTCTTCTGTTATATCTTAACTCCATAAGAACAAAGTGTCCTGTGACTGGCTGCCATTACTACTCTGCCATACTCTCACATACCCACAATGCACAAACACTTGGAGTCAAATTTGACTGATTTCTAAGCTTTATTAGATTGTTTTATTGTTGCAAACCCTGTAAAGAGTCTGTGTTATTCTCCATTTTCAAATTGACTTTATTAAAGGTCACTGATGGCATTTTCTTTGAAATATATCCATGTTATCTCTTACACTATTTCTGTTAATCCCCTAGTTCAGGAAGCACACACACAAAGTGAGTCAGGGGAGAATATGGGCTTTAGACTGACCTAAGTTTGAATCCAAGGCTTGCTACTTTCTAGCCATGTGACTGATGTTGGATATATTACTTTGCCCAATTTCTATTTCATCTGAAAGTTTAGAATAGTAATTCTTATGCAATCAGATGAAATATGAAGTATTAATATTGCTAATAGTAACTTGAGACCTCAAACTTTGGGTATTAGTTTTCTTGCTTGAACCACCTCTTTTAAGTAAGAGCCATAGAATTGCAGTCATCCTGGGAATTTATTTTTGAATCTAACCAAGGAAAGCATTCCATGAGTTACTAACGTGGGTTAGTTTTCAGAATTCTCCATTTCCTATGAGCCCTGCCAGGGAAACTATGGGCTTTTGTATTCATAATTTCTTGTGTGTGGAATCAGAGGGGCTACTATATACATTTTATATTTGTGTTATTTTCTTAAGCATCCTCCAAATTACGTAGCATGAAGGCCCCATAAAACATAAAACATGCCTCTTGGTATTATTGTGAAGAGGCCTAGAGAGTCTGGGAGAGTTGTTTCTAAAGTGTTCATGACTCTTCCCACGCTTTCCCTAAAACTGGGTTTTCCTGATGTGTTTCCCACTTCTCACCTAAAACCAGTGCGGCCCACCTGAAGATGTATTTGGAAGTGGTGTGCTTGAAGGCTGTTCACCAGAAGGATGTTCATCTAGAGCCTGATTACCATCAGACTTTTTTCCAGAAGCCTGTTCACCTGAGGTGTCTTCACCTGAAGTGTCTTCACCTGAAGTCTGTTCACCTGAAGCATGTTCACCTGAAGTCTCTTCCCCTGAGGCATGTTCACCTGATGACTCTTTACCTGAGGCCTGTTCACCTGAAGTCTCTTCACCTGAGGCGTGTTCACCTGATGTCTCTTCACCTGAGGCGTGTTCACTCGAAGTGTGTTCAGCTGAAGCATATTCACCTGAAGTCTCCTCACCCGAGGCCTGTTCACCTGAAGTATCTTCACCTGAGGCATGTTCACCTGGTGTCTCTTCACCTAAAGCATTTTCACCTAAAGTGTGTTGACTTGCAGCATGTTCATCCACAGTGTGTTTATCAGCAGCATGTTCATCCACAGTGTGTTTATCAGCAGCATGCTCACCTGCATCATACTCGCTTGAACTGTGCTCTCTGGAACCTTGCTGTTAGAACATTCTTACCTAAAGAAGTCTCATATAAAGCTTCAATATCTGAAGGGTTTACTGGTGAAAGGTACTCATCTGAAAGTTGTTGAACTGAACCTTGATCCATAGAGGCAAAAGGCTCATCAGGCTGACCTGATGCTCCTGGCATGGAAAAGAAAAACAAGAGATAGTGAAGAAGAGAGAGCATGGGGTAAAGACTACTTCCCTATAGAGAGAGACAAATGGGGACCCCTAGGTGTCCTGTGGGTCTAGAACAGACACTTGACAGTAGTGCAGATATTGGGGGAAATCAACTTAATTACTTCAAGAGACCATGGAGAATAGAGCTGTTTAGTGAAAAATACAGAGACCACCTATGGGATTGAAGGAATTGAGCTTTAAAATACATAATACTAAAAACTACACAGGGTGATACCATCACTCATATACCAAAAGCACCTGAATGGAAATGAATGTGCCTCCCTGACAAAGCCAGCATCAGGAAATCAAGTCACTCATGTCATCAGAAGTCTACCACCAGCCCTCTGACCAGTCCCTCTTTGGTGAAGTCAAGAAGAGTGGAGATAGGAGAGAGAAAGCAAATAGTTTCCCATAGCTGAGTAATTCCAGCCTAAATTGAGGGTGGACAATTTTCTTACTTTTATGTTTAAGCAATTTATTTATTTAGCAGTATTGGAGATTGAACCCAAGACATTCACACTGATTAATTTTGAGACAGGGAAGTTCTTGCTAAGTTGCTTGGACAAGGCTCAAACTCACAATTCTGCCTCATCCTCCCAGAGTGCTGGGATTATAGATGTATACCCAGCTGATGGAAAATTTTAACCTTTGGACAGAATAAATTTTAAATGAGAAGATGACCACAGAATGACCTTGAGCCCACAAAAATTACCAGAAGGGATTAAGTCACCTTTTATTTGGTAAGGTCAAGTTCTTTCTCACACTTCTTAATCTACATGGGTTGGGTATTCTCAATAGAATTCAAACCCAATTGGGTAAACCCAATAGAAGGAAAAGTTGCTATAAATTACTAGGTTGAAAAATTCTGGGGCCAGTTTGATCCCCTTCATTAAAGCATACCCCCTCAAGCTACTCAAGCAGGTCCTTTTCTATTTTTCTTACTTTTCTTTGTCAAGAGCTGGCCTGATCTTTGTTGGCTCCTTAAACTAAAGTCTCTTACCATTTTCTCTTATTTTCCTGTTAGGAAAAAAACAACAACAAGAAATTCTTGGCTTATCTTTATATGTGTCTGAATGGAGATTCCCAGTGACATTTACACCCACTTCATGGAGTTGTTGGGTATTCAGTAAGATAAATTGTGAAGTGCCTTGTCTGTTGCCTAGATGCTCAATTAATTTTAGATTTCTCTTCTCCTCACCTTACACTGAGATTTGCAAACCACTAAGAGGACCATTCACTTCTGGCTAATTTCTTCTACCTTTAATCCAGCTCATTAGTGACTGCCAGACAAATATTCCTTAACTGTTACTTTAATTTTAATTGAATGGAAGCACCAAACAGACTGTTTTGTAATTGCTCCTTGATTAGTAGCCTAAGAGAAGACATGAAGACAATGAGGACTGGGTAATTCTAGCTAAGAGCTGAGGCATTACAAGATCTTTTTTTTCAATTTTAATTTTATTGATGCAATTTAATTTACATAATGATCACATTCATCATAGGGAATTTGTACTTGTACATGATGTATCTTGATTCCTTTTACCCCCAATTCCCCTCCCTTCAATCCCTCTTCCCCTTCCTTATTTACAAAAGTCCTGTCTGCATTTTTTCTTCCCCTTTTCTTCTTTTTCCTTCCTTCCTTTTCCCCTCCCCCCTCTCTAGTTCCCTCTTCCTTTTGAACAATTTTTCCTTATTTCACATTGTCTGTTATACATTTTGGTTCCTATTTACATTTTCAGCTTATTACACCAGATAATAGCAACAAGGTTTGTGATAGCTAAATCTTGAAAACAACCCAAATGCCTATCAACCAATGGATGGATAAAGAAGATGTGGTTTTTCTATACAATGGAGTGTTACTAAGGTATTACAAGATCTTTAAGCTGAGATAGTTTTAAGGCCCCTGGGTGCTCTAGCTTTGTAAGAATCCTATAAGATACATATATATATATATTTATAATCAGTTATTTTCTCAAAATCTAGGGTCTCTGGGCATGGTAGTGCATGCCTGTAATCATAGCGCTCAGGAGGCTGAGGAAAGAGGATTGAAAGTTTGAGGCCAACCTGGGTAACTTAGTGAGATCTTATCTCAAAAAACCAAACAAAAGTAAATAAAAGACTAAGATTATAGTATGTTCATAAAGATTGGATAAGGTTTTTATTTTTAAAATATAAATACTTGCTTGAGTGATTCTTCAATAGTTAAACTTTTTTCATTTTATTGATTTTTAAACTTTTTTCCTCACATTTTATTCTTTTATTAGTACATTCATCATGAGGGATGTGTACATGTTCAGAGCACATCTTAATTCTTTCTTTGTCCCCTTTCTCTCCCCTCTCCAAATCTTTACCTCCACATTTACAAAGCTCTATTTCCATTTATTTCTTTCAATTTTTTTCTTTTAAATCTTTTCTTCCTCCTCCCCATCTCTTGTTCACCTTCCCAATTGAATAATTTCTTCCTACTTCCTAATTTCTCTCCTCCATTTTCCTCCCTGTTCATACTTTATATTCTTCAAACAAGTGAAGCAATGTGATATTTAAACTTGTGTGCCTGATTTAAAAAGTTTTACTAAGAAAATATTTCTAATATAGAATAGAAAACAGGTTTGAATAAGCATGCTAATTTCTTAGTCACTTTCTAGTGACTGATTCTAGTGCTTTGTGGCCCTGACCCAAGGTTGGTTCTGCTCTACCCATAGGCTGATGTAGGGGACAGGGGAAGGGGACGTTACCAGAACCTCTGCAGTGAGTCCTGGTCTCCTGCGAGCCACGGCAGCACACGGCGAATTACAGGAAAGGTAGAAAAATGAGACTGAGAAGAAGCTGACCTTTGGGTCTGATCAGTGCTGCTCTGGACAGCAAAGACAAAGCCCCCAGCTTACCACACCTTTTATTCAGTACATCGGGAGAAACAAATGTAACAAATGACTTGCAGAGAGTTCAA